TTATAAAATATATTTTCTCACTCATATTTGATTATTCTCTTTTGAAAAACCTGAAGTAACTCCAGTTCAATTCATATTTACTATTCACTTTCTATGTGCTGCATACAAAAAGATGAACCCTCAGTTAAGGCTAGTGAGATGCTAAGTGTTAAGTGGAAAAAAGTCAGGAGAGGCATTTGGATTCAGTGAGATCTTTAGGCAAAGATACCTGAGAGTAGGATGGTCCCATGGTTATGTGGCAAGGCTGTGTATAAATATGGTAAGAGTAGCAGGAAAGAGTTGTAACAAATATGTATTATTGGAGGGTGAAAGGTACTGTGGATATTGCTGGGAGATAATGCTGTGGAGGTAGGTCTATACTTTAAAAAAAAAAAGCTTAAATCCAATATAAATAAAAATCTGAACCTAGAGAGAAATCTTAGAAGTAGGAAGACATAGTTAACTTGCTATTGAGTTCTACTGTTCTTCCAGAATTAATGATTTCCATGCCTCACGAGAAATACTTAACAGTACACATATTGTCAAATTAACATACATTAGACTTAAATTTTTGGTTTTAACATTACTCAATATATCTACTTTAATAAATGTCAAGGCTCTCTCCAAATAAACATGAAAAAATAAAAAGCTAGATTTTCTTTTTTTCTAGGATTTTCTTTGAAGTTTTCTTTTTCCCTCTCACAGAGTAATAAGTGAAAATGGCCATCAAGATACAAAAGTGAAGGCTTTTGAGTAACAAATCTATTTCTTAAATTGAAGAATACAGTAATAAAATTTCTACATGGAAAAAAAACTGTCACCTTTATAGATCTGAATATGTTATAGACTTTCCTAATGTGTTTAAGTTCTCCACAGTTCAAATAGTTTACTATATGAAAAAAAAGAAAAATGTACTAACAACAAAACTGAAGCAAAAACAAAACTAAAAACTACAGCAAATTATCTCTTAAAGAAATTTTTGTTTCCCATGAAGGTTTTTGATAAAACAGTTCATACTAGCTTTTCATTAAAGATACATGACTACTACCAATTGAAACCTGTGGGTAGAATCTGTTTCTAAAAATCTACTCTTATGAGGAGAATTGACCATGAGAAAGATATGCTGAGGGCTTAATATTCTCTTAGCTAGACTATATTTTTTGTATTGCACATAGTCATAATATACTTTATATTAATTTTAATTGACTTACATTTTATTACCATATAAATTGTAAATATCCTAGATAAAACTAGGAAACTTTCCATATCCTATAAATTTCAACTCTAAGAAACATAAGCATAAAGTCTGTGTCCGAACCATCTATTTTTCATAATCCCTTAACAGTGGGCCCTTAATTAATAGTGCATGAATTGTCCTCTTGAATACTTAAGTCTTCCCAGTTATAAAAGTATTTTCCGCTAGGTTCCACTTTCCTGTGAAGTGACCACTGTTTTCCCTTCATTTATTCCATAGCCAAATGTTCAGAAAGAAATGTACATTCTTCTCTAACTTCTTACTTTTAACTTAACCGACTACAGTCTGATTTCTGTCATGTAGGGCTTTCCAGAAATCTCTCATAACGGCCAGACATCTCTCCAGACATCTTTCCAGACATCTCTCATAACATCGCTCATAATGGCAAAACCCAATAAACCATTTATAATTGTTATCATCCTTGAAGTGCCTGGAATTGATATTCTCTGACATGCTCTACTCCTTTGACTTTGAGGAATCTACTCTTAGACTTCTATTTCTTCAAATTTACTTTTGTGACTTCTCCATGATACAGTATCAAATGCTGGTATTTCCTAGGATTCCATCCTTAATTCTCTACTCTTTTTTCTATAAACCCACTGTTGTTTCATTGCACAAAATATACCTCACAAACTGGCCCCAACATATCTCTTTTCTCTTCATTGTATCATATGGTCTGTCCTCTCATTATGCCACATAGCCTTTATTCCATTCTCAACTTTTACCTTTAACTTTCAGACCTGTTCTCCGATTGTGTCAGCCCTCTTTTGAGAAAGATGTTCAATGATTTCCCCTCCTGTAAAACTATTGCAGTTTTTTTTTTTCAAAATACTATGAAAATATCGCTTCACCTATAAAGGCTTTCTATCTCCTACTAGTAATCATTAATTTATCTCTATTCAGTTGTTTTCCCACAACACTTTGGTTACATTTCTATTATAACTATTGTCCAATGGTATTTTAATTTTTTAAAACCCACTTATCTACCCAAAGTGAATTTTAAGTTCTTTAAAAGTACAAACCACTTTGGGATTAATACAGCATAAAGAAAGCAGTACAGCCAAAGAGTTCTAACCAAGGCATGGACTTTAGAATCAAACAGGAGTGACTTGAGTCTCAGGTATCCACCTCTTCCTAGTACATAACCTCAGTGTTATCATCTTTGAAATGGGGATATCAACTAGATGATGATAAAAAAATAATAATAATAATAATAATAATTACCTAATATTCTAACTTTATGCAATTGTAAGGTGCTTAATGCACTACATGTCACAAAGTATTTGCTAAGCCAGCTTTAACTGTTAATAATTCTCCTTCCAAATTTAAGAAGGTCTCGCTCATTAAAGGTATCAATAAATATTTGGTGAATGAATGAATGAATGAAGGATAACAAAATGTAATGATCTCTTTTATGCTTCTTTTATGGCTTAAGTGATTTGAGGAATTCAGTAGCATTACTCCTACCATTAGAATAAAATTTCAGCCACAGAAATCCAAGGCACAGATATAATTTTCATAAAGCCAAATGCAGATGTAGAAACAAAGATAACGGGAGTAAACGGTGTTTGCTCTAAACCCTTCTAATTAATATATTTTTCTGGTTGAGTTTATCAGATAGGCTGATTATTGCCTTAAAATGTAAGATGCTCTGATGGTACTTGGTAAGAGTGAAAAAGGGAAGAGAAGACTAGTTACTGTGGGCTAATATGCTCATAAGAGAGATTTATTCTGGGGGCAGTCTCTGGACAGGGTATGGTCCTGAGACCTATTTGTGGGGAGAAGGTAGGGTCGGCCTGAAATGTCATGTTTACTTTAACTGCAAGAATGAGAGAGAGACAAGATAATTGAATACTGGGACCCAGAGCAGGCACTGCCAGTGTCCTAAAAAAGAAATAACAAAAGAAGCTATATCAATATTTGTCTGAGAATTACCCTGGATCTACTAACTCTGAAATATCTATGAATCTACTTGTATTGCCCTTGTTATTCTCCCCTCAAGTTGTGCTGCCCAGGTTCAGGCTCTCGTCACTTTTCACCTGAAGTGTGTCAAAACTTTTGATGTGGTTCTAGCAGCTAATCTCTAGGGCTTTCTTCTACATGTCAGCCAACAAGCATCACCTTCAAAGGCAAGCTCCTTCAGCTGGAGCCACTGCCTCAGGTCTCTTTGGCTATTTATTCTGTTCAGGATCCTATGGAAACCCCTATTTTTGGCATAAATTGGGCTCCAAATAATCTTTTCTAGCTTTATCGCCTCACACATCAACCCCCACCAACTCTAGAGTCACCCTTAACTCTAGCTATATTAAACCACCCATAGTGTCCCAAAGAGGCCATTCAGTCTCACATCCATGTCATCGCTTAAGTCATTCCTGTTCAGAATGCTCTTCCCGACCTCACTGAACTACATGAATTACATGAGCAGCACATTTTCCATTCTGAGTGAATCACTTGCTTTGCTAAGACTCCACTGTCTTTATTTCCTATGTTCACACCTATATTATTATAGGTTAATTAGTTATTTATGAATTTATAACACCTCTAATTAGCGAGTTCCTTGATATCGAGGTTTTAATTTCCTTCATTATACCTTGTCTAGGATTTAGCACACTTTCATGGTCTTATAAATATTTGCTGAATAACTGAGCAAAAGTAGGACTAAAGAAGGGTTTCCTCTCTGTCTTTAACTGTATAAGTTACAAAAACTGAGTATGAACTGAGAAGTGAATCAATTCGTTAACAGATCAGTTTATATACATCTCATAGACTTAGATTAAAAAAAGCACTTCTGGATGTGTTTTATGCAAAAATATTGGTTTAACATATGCAAATACCTTCCAGAAAAAATTTAGCAATTTTGCTATGTGATTATTTTAATCACTTCCCATATTTTTCCAACTTGTCTAAAGAATGACATATTCCTGAAGAAAGAGTAGATCATTATGAACAAAACTGCAGAGTGTTGGTAAAGAAACATCTGAATTTTAATACAATTGTGCTTTAAAACAATTACTAAGTACTGTGAGACACCACCATGGGGCAATTATCAGGCTCTCATCAGGGCTTGTATTTATAACTTTGGCATTAAGGAGCATGTCAGATATGATCCATCTCTAAAATTCAAATGAAAGGCTAAAAAAATAACTTCCATGCTGATGAACATTGATAGTTCACCCAAAGGTAGTCTATGAAATTTCACAGAGGAAACGAGTTTGCTATGGAGAAGTTGAATTAAAAAAGACTGATGTAAACTATTAAGGTATTAAGTTTCTAGAAATTTTTAGCACGTACGTATATATTCTGTAAAGAAGTCTTATTAAGGTATACCCGTCTCAGTAAAATTATGAAATAATGTGTTATTTCATCCATCTTGAAATGAAAAGTCAGTTACTAAATAGAAACCAGCATTCCAACGTAGTACAGAGTCTAAAAACACCTGTTTCTGTACTTCTCTAATTAAAAGCCATAAGCCTAGAAAATGTATTTTCTTTTTAAATATTTTTATTAAAGTACAGCAGATGTGTTTTTATTAAATAACTCCATGAACTTTTGCATTCCCTCCGTTATATTTCTAGACTTTCTAGCTGACTGTGGTACATACAATTGTCGGTGAGCGAAGCAAAGGTTAAGTGTGTATGACACAGATGAGCCCTGAGATTAAGGATACACTGTGAAATGCATGTGGACGTTCATGATTTAAGCCAATGAACTGTGGCCTGAAATGATGTCACATGAAGCGGAGCAGTAAGTGGAAGGTTAAACCTACTTGCATCTCGGCTCATTAAACGCAGTTAAAGTGCAAATCCCCTCATTCTGACAGTAGTGATCACAAGGGTTCTCTTTCTGGTCACAGCGCTGACTTTTAAACCCCACAGAGCATCTGTAGAATTTCAGTAAAATACAGCTAAATAAAGTGACTGACTTTTTTTGCCAAATATGTTTCAAATATATTTCACACAGAGATAGTAACATATGAATAACATTTTTCTCCGGTGTGCTCACTTCTCTCATACACACTATCACATGTTACTCTGACGAAAGGGGAGGTGCAGAAAGCAGACTTGGATCTTACGTGGACGTCATCCTTCTAGTCAAGCAATGACAAAAGAAAATTCAAAATAGAGACCACATAAGCTGAAGGGTTTTATTTCAAGTTGTCCATTTGGACAATCAGCTATTTGGAAGGAGAAAATATTAAATTCAGATTTTCTCAGGAGTAGAGAATCTCCAATACTTTCCAAATGTTTAGAAACCCAGATTTGAGTTAATGGATTCCAAAGGAGGTAGGGGCTTAATAGGTTTATATAATACAGCACTCTAAACCTGATAAAAACATTAAATAGCATTATACACTTGAAAAGACACCTGAAATTCTTTGAAAAGAATGGCCTCAAGTACCAAAGTATTTGTAAATATGATTATGTCTGGGTTTCACATATCTGAACACGGTCAATAAAATTAGAACAATTTTCCCCAACATTTCCAAGTTCAAAGATATATGAATGTCTGAAATGAGTATGATGCTAAGAACTGAATGAGCTCTTCCTTATGAAATCACTAGCAAATTGATGAACGAGGAGATTTTGTCCTCCTGAAGGACAATACCTGATTAGAAATGTCCATGAAACATTCATCTAAAATGTATTACCCCCAAGAAAAGAGAATAGAGCAGAGATTCCATGTACATACAGAGTCATAGCATTAAATGCCCACAACGTTATAAAATACTCACAGGCACACAGGTACATTTGTCTCAGGGTCCAGCTGGCATGTGCCACCATTGTAACAGTAGCCATCACATAACTGACAGCTAGAGGCAATCTTTCCATTAGTGCAGCTGCAGCAACAGAGGAGAAAAAGATAACTTATTGTTACTGGCATAATTATTGTTGAAAGCGGATGTAAACTCACTGCAGATGATAATATTAGCTGTAGAGGAGTGATAACAGTGGCTGGCTAAAAATGTTTTCAGAAAGATTGACTTGCTGAAGGCAGATTACATATATATATATATGTATGTATNTATATATATATATATATATATATATATATATATATATAATGACGACACATAAATGTTTTCTTTTAGTAATTTTCAAATGTTCAACCCACTTGCTTAATATAAAAATTAAATACAGTTAGATATATGTGTGAAAAATATCATCTAATATGTATCATTTAAACTTCAGGGAGACATTAGCATCAATATCTTATTCCCTTTTCATATAATTATAATTTGGTGAGAGCAGTATGATTATAAGTCACATCATCAAATACTCTGGAAGCAAATGCTTCAGCTGTTCTTTCTAACCTGGAAAAACAGGTCCAAAGAACTGTTATGAGTTTTAGAGTCCACATTTTGTAAGAAATTATAGGATTATCCTGTAGACACTTGTATCTCATAATTTCTCTTTGAATATGCATTATAATGAATGTCAGACTCTTTTTATTCTAACAGAAAAAAACACATGGAGTAGTTCATTGGGAAAATAAACAGTACTGTTAGAATAACAATATGCAATACGGCAACAAAGTAATGAGATAGGCTTACTTTGTAAACTTATGAAAATTATTTTAATTTACAGCATATTACGTGTCTAGCATAATAATAAACACTATGGCTATTGCTATATGGGAAAACAAGCATAACAATAATAGGAAAATATACAAATTTCTTATTTGCCATGTTACATTTTTAAATACATATGTACAATTAGCTTGGACATTAAAAATTGTTGGGGGAACAGAGAAAAATGCATCAACATTCCAAATTATCAATGGACCTCTTCTATTAGAAGTATGGTAATAGAATCATACAAGCCTTGCCCAAATCTGAATTACAATAGATCCTGCCAATGTTCTGATTATGAGATCATGTTAGTACTAGGTGCAATGAAGCAATCAATGGTATCACAATAACTGTGAACATAACCTTGACAAAGAAATCAGGCTGCAATATCATTGATTGATCACCCTGATCCTTCCCATGTTGGATGCCTATTGTAGTACATTCATCAAAGGGTAATTCCCAATGATAGGTTAGATGCCTAAAATAATTGGTTGGCAAGCCTATAGTTCACTTATTGCACATATTTATTTGACCTCATGTGACTGGTAGGGCTGCTAGAAATGCACTAAACTACTTATCACTTTTCCAGGTGTTTAATTTAAAGGTATTTTTAGGAGCTTGGATGTTAAAAAATCACATTTCTTTTCAAGATGAATAGAAGCACTAGATGTGGAACGGAGATATGTGAAAGCGGAACCAAACATGGGGAGGTAGGCAGTGGTTTAAAATTTCTGAGATTTAACAGAGAATATCACATCCTTTAAAATCTATAGAGGCATTCAAATACAGATGAGTCAAGTACACATTTAGTGGTATTGGTGTCTGACATGTTAAATGGCTCAGGGAGACTGTTTCTTGCCTTCCATGCCTAGCCTCCTTGAAAATCAATGAACAGAAAGTTATAGTTTCTTGTTCCATCAAAGGGACAACATCAGAGAGAAAAATTAGCTCATTATACATTAAATGATTTCCCACAAGAAAGAAAACTACACATGGAATATCAACTTTAAAAGAGAAAAAAGATTTTCATTATTAATTGCTTTTAAACTTCTACTTCCAAGAATAATAAAAGATGTTGCCTTTTTCCCCTAAAGGCTTTATTTGAATTGTAAATTGTGACAGAAATTTGTAGATATTTCAAATATGAAATAAGAATTATCCAAATAATTTAATGCATTGGAGTATAGTTCATATTTTAATGTAAGTTTTCATAATAATTTTGTTTCTTAGAGACATATGTGATACACACACACACACACGTGCACACACACACAGGTTGTAATATATCACTTTCCAAAGTTGTCTGGTACACAAAAAGAACTTCCATAACAATATCACAAAGGTATTATTTAGGCTATTCAAAATTATGATCAAGCCTTTCTTCATCAATATTTACTTAGATTTCCAGAAGAGAAAAAAGGATGTGATTAGCTCCATTTTAAAGATTATACTCATACCTGACAGAGTATCAATTATAGTTGACAGCTTATAGGCTGTGCATTAGAAATACAACTGATTATTGAGAAATGCAAGTATGCATAGTAGCATGAATTTTCCTATTTAAAAGATTTAGTTTAACTCAGCTGTGAGTTTGTTTTAGTATCAGTTCTTTATTTATGAAACAGAGATTCCAATATCACTGTAAACTTCACTTAATGCTAAGACGAAAAGTATCAAAGAAATGAAAACAAACTTGTCTATTAAGTTATAGAATATCCAAAGAATCCTGTTTGTATTGTCATGCTGATATGATTTTATATAGCCTATGGGATAAATTAAGTATTATACTCCTATTTTTAAAAATTCTACTATCTACTCATAGATAGTAAATATTATTTTTGCATATATTTTTTCAAAAAGATCTTTTAAGGGTCAAGACCTATGATGTTGAACCTCGGCAGCCTCCTCAGGTTACAGGCTCCGGTGTTTCTAGGTTAGCAAAGCCAATCTTCTCCATATAGCAGGCAGCACTGAGGACTTTAGGTCTTGATCTTCCTTCCTCAGATGTAATGGAAGCAGCATGTTTGTCTCTGCCTGAGATTTTCTAAGTAGGAAACTGCGGCTCACAGCCTTTCTTAGATGATGGTCCATGATTTCTTATGTGAAAGAAATGGGGCTGTAAAGAAGATTCTACAGAACATTCCTGATATGGTATACTGGATATAAAGGAAAATGTATGCCCACTAATTGAAATAAAGTTTTATCATGATAAAGTTTCATCACAAAGAACTCATGGCCTTAATAAACAAACACAATTTGGGGAGTTTATATGAAAATGCATTTGCTTTTACATTCTTATCAAAGGCACATATTTATAATTAGTCATATTTTCAATTACTTTATACTTAAAAAATAATGTACTTTCAAATGAACCAATTTGAGGGTTTGAGCAAATGTCATTTATAATGATAACACAAATCATATTTAGAGTAAATTCTAAAATGAGAGTAAATAAAAAAGGAAAAAAAGTTGATGATGTATGTAATAAAATTTTATTGGGCCTTGTTTTGCAAAGCAACATAACTCAGGGCCGGTACCCACTCTGAGCTGTTGCAGCATAAGCTGTGACATGAACACTTTACGCCACGCTTTTCTATCTCATATTATACTTCCGAGAGAGGCAAGTCATCAAGTCCAGTCTTTTATAAATCCTTCTTTTAAAAGGCTGTTAAAAGAAGTTTGGAGTGAGGATTGATCTCTAACCTCAGTGGCATAAGCTTGTTTCATGATAGAAACTGAAAATCATTCCCGTTTAGTGGCCATGTTCTATTTCCATTCACTTAACCTTGAAGCCAAAGGGCAAAAGACAATGTAACAGAAATGTAACTTGAACATTTTTGTTTTAGTTGCTTCCTAGGAAATATGATTCCTCCTCCTTATTTTGGACCATAATGTTCAAAATCAAATAAAAAAATTTAAAAAAAAGTTTGTTTCCACTAGACAGGTCTTTTGCTTCTCCCCAAAAGGATCATTTTCTAACAACAGAAAAGCAAACACTCACTGTTGATGCTAATAATGAAACAATTGAACGCCTTGGATAATTCTAACTTAGTAATATCACATATAGTTTTCTGAAGGTAGCATTTTACTATTTCTTTCTTACTATTGGCAATATTCTATACAGGGAATGATCTGACCATATTACATGCTGAATTTTCATGTTCCCCAGATGATGTATATAATAGGTGTTGAATAAGTGTGGATTTGATATAAATGAATTGAACTTCATTTCTACCAAAAAAAAAAAAAGACAGCAAAGAGGATGTAAAAGAGGATGTAATTGGGTCACTTTTAGAATAAACATAATTTACATTGTTTTCCCAGTTTATTGATGGACTGCTAAGCCCTATTGAGTTTAAATGCTTATATAAATTACGCTGGATGTCCACTTACTTGCAAAATATATCATCACTGTCTTTATTTACAATGCAGTGCCCCCCATGGCACCTTGTACATTTGTCAACCTCACATTTTGGTCCTTCATAGCGTGTTGGACAGACACATTCAACACTTCCATCATCCCTAATGGTACAGGATTCGGAATTCACACAGTAGTGGTGACACACATCTAGAAAGAATGCACAAGAGAAAAATAAAATTATATTACAAGATGTTTTTCTCTAGCCATTAAATGTTACCATTTTTAAAAATATTTAAAAAGGCTCATTCAATAGGTAGATTAATTTACAGAAACAGCTTGCAATTACACATAACTAGAATTCTCTAATAATGATATTGATTCCTCCTTTTGCCTGAGTTGGGCATCTTTTCACCTGGCTAAGAGGAGATGGTTTATATTGATATAATGCTAGCTGATAAATTCTCTTGGTTCTGAATTTTAAATTTTAAATTAACAAGTTTCCTTAGCGTTCTTTCTAGTAAGCAATATCACTGTTATCCTGAAATGACCAGGCATGCTCAATATTTCTTTAGCTGTCATTTATCATTGCCTCTCCCTGCCCCTGTTTTCATGCACAGAACAGGGTAGTGTGTGGCAAGTGGAAGACTCCTACCTCTGCACCAGGCCTTAGTGTGATGGAAAAAGACCTCCTTCTACATGATTCAGAACAAGACCTGGTATTTCCAAACACCTGGGCAGGTGAACAGACAATGTGTACATCTCATGAAACCCTAAGAGAAAAGTAGACTGGGAAACTCACTGATCCCTCATGGATGGGAAGTGATAACGTAAGTCTAGGCTATCACCTCCTCCTAGGTGAGAAGCTAGCCTCCCCATCAGTCAGAGGGAATACCTTCCTGTAGTCTGAGCCCTTTGTTTTGAAAGACATTTCTTACTGAGCATTACTTACAGTTTTCTCAGCTACAAAGGAAGAGTTCCTCAAATATCTATTTCTATACTTGAATGTGAGCAATAAAAGAAAGATTATTTAATATAATAACCACATTAACTCTGTAATTATACATTCTGCCTCAGTCTTCTCAAAAGCAGACCATTCTATATGCATGTTTATATATGAATATATTATAATTTACCACATTCAAAATATTAAAATTCATAATACAAACAATTTTAAGCACAATAACTGATTAAATCGATCCCAGACTTCACGTTTGGAAACTGCAATTTCCATTTAGCTATCTAATTGTTAAGCAATGTTAAATGAGATTACTTGAGATAAAAATCACAACTTATAAACTTTAACGTCCTGTAAGACAATCATAAGTTGATGAGGTAAATTGAAACATAATTTATTATTCTCCTGTTTTTATATTTATCTAGTCTGTTATTAAATCAGACAGAAATTAAATTTATCAACAGGCTTCTTCATATTTATGGAAATTTATTTCATGCAATTTCATGCTTGCTGTTGCATTATACCAAGTCCCACATTGAGATTCAATGCTTATATTTATTAATATGGGTTTTGGCTATATTTAAGAAAAATAGTACTTTCAAAGGGTGAGAGACTTGGAGATCTAAAAATTAAGTCAATGTGTGCATCTGTCCATTATGGTGTCTATTTGCAGTTGATCTATGCTTGGGAAGAAGAATGTATTAGCAATGGCCTATATGATCATCTAGTACCATCTCCTTTTAATGCAGAAATCTCTGAAGAACAATTTTCATTAGTCAGTTTGCTAGATACGTTTTATTTAAAAGGAATTCTTTTAATATTGCCCCATTGCCTTAAATGTCATCCTTTTGTCTTGGTTCAGCTGATGGGACATAGAAGTTGGCTGATGTCTCTTTCCAATATTTTCATATATATCCTTATTCAGAGATTTACATAGTGGGTATTTCATTAAATTCATGTTGGGGACTTTTTTACAAATGCAAATTCCAGTGCCCTTCCCTGTCGCCCACCACCCAACCCTAGATTCTAATTCATAAATCCAAAATTGGGCCCAGATGGTCCTCATGGAACTAATTGAGGAAATAGAATTTGGAAACTAGGAAGTGTAAGAAATGATTTGGAGATAATTGTATTGATTAGCAAAGAAACAACATTGTCTAATAATTGTAAATGAATTGGATTTGACTGGCACAGCTTATTTCTTGACTATATTTATGAGCCTTAACTAAAAAGTAATGTTTAATTTAAAATCTTGAACCACTTTGTTTTTATGCCATATTGGTGAAAAAGCCTGAGAAACTAGAAAAAAAATGGGGTTAACTTTCTGAGGGTTGATGATCGCTCTATACACTCTGTAGCAAGGAATAGTTCACTTATCTGGAGTACTAAAGGGCAAGGTTAAAAACATATCTATAATTTACTAATTATAAAGTCATTTTGATATATAAATTAAATCTGTTTTAGACTAAGATTCAAAAGATGTGAGAATATATACAGCTTCTAAATAATGAAGGCAATACTAATGAACTCTTCAAAGATACCATTGCACACCCGCCACACTGACCACAAATAACACAAACTCTCATACAACACTAGCTGGAATATAAATTGGTTCAACCAATGTGGAAAACAATTGACAGTATCCACTAAATTGGAACATGCCCACACCTTATACCCTATCATTTATACTCTTAATATATTGGGTTGTCGTAAAAATCATGATGCATTTTTGCAATGAAAAACATAGAAAAATACATCATGACTTTTCCGACAAACCAATATATGCAAGGGAAAAGTATACATATGTGCACAAAAACATGTACATAATATACACAGAGACATTTTAAGAAATAGCCAAAAAACCTGAAAATTATCCAAAGGTTCCTGACAAGAAGAATGGATAAACTGGGGTTCACTCAACATAAATATTACATAGATAAATAAATGAAAATGAAACATGGATTAATCACACAAAAATAATATTGAGAGAAAAAACTAGACACAAAAATAATATAGTACTTTTTTATTTATGTAAAGTTCAAAAGGCAAAATGAATTTATGGTTTTAGAAATCAAAAAAGAGATATCTTTGGGAAGAAGAGAAGGAATAGCGATGAAGAATATCAGGGGAAACCTGGGGTACTGATAATGTTTAGTCATGAACTGAATGTTGGTTGCGCTGGTGTGTAAATGTAGTGCTAATTTATTGAACTGTATATTTGTGATTTTAAACTTTTCTGTGCATTTTATATTCTCCAAAAAAAGTTTTATTTAACCCAATGACAAATAAGCTACAATTATAATATTTTAGTAATTCTGGAAAATTTGCTAACTAGGCAAAATAGTTTTTCTCTTTACAGACACTATTTTTGAAAGGATTTCATGTTCTATTTTCTATGCTTTAAAGGAAATTCATCACTCTTTAATTCACTCAATAATTTTTCATTGCATGTCAGATGCACATTATTTAATGCAGTTGATTGTCCTCATGGCATAAAAATAGAATCCAAAAAATGTAAAATAAATGTTTAAGAGAAAATTGTGAAATAAACAGATATTAGAGTCTAAACTTTAAAAAATAATTCTAATTGCATGCTGTTAAGCCATGATAATTTTTTTTTCCTTTTAAAAGAACACTTTCTCTATAAGTATTCAAATGGAAGACATTTCATTTTTCTTAATTCACATGCTTAGCACTCTATGCCAAGTCTAAGTTCAGGGGCAGGGAGTTGATCACTGTACTCTGATCATGCCAAAGTTCTTACTCAATTTGCCTTCCTATGAAAATGTTCTGACTATCTCCCACTGTTAGGCTTGAGATGTGGTGGCACTTATAGAAGTTGTTGTTATATGTTTGGCTGGATTGTTTTCTGTACCACTATTAGAATTTTAGTCCCCAACACTTTGACTGTATTGTATTCCATATTCCTTTCCTCCTTCCCTCCCTCTAGCCCTACCTCCTTCCCTCTCTCCTCCCTCTCTTCCTCTCTTTCTCCCGCCCCCTCCCCCGCCCCGCCCTTTCTTTTTTCCCTCCTTCCCTCCTTATTTCCTTCCTTCCTTCAAGGCTTCCCTATTTATTCAATTCCAACTCCAAGATTCCTGAATAGAAGAAAAGGTAGATCTTAATAAGGGACTTTGGCATGTGATTTTTAAACTACCATATAAGCATTGAAACTTGTAAATTGGAAGGCAAAATAATTCTTTCCAGTGATCTCTTTTTATTTCATGTTTAGTCATGACACATACTGTGTGCAAGTCCAGGAAAGAGTTGCAGACATCTGTTGGTGCTGCCTGTTTCTAAATTGGGTGACTCAACCAAAGTCCATGTTCTCTGCAACTCTCAATATCATGACAGCAATGCAACCCAATTTCTCTCTCATTCTCTTCTCAGCTATAAACCACTTAGAATTACAAGCATCTATGTATAATATACGCTATATTTTCATCAGTGTCACATCTCTATATCTCTCAATTACGTATTTACATTGTTAGTGTCTCTCCAGCTATTTATATAATGAAATGAATATTTTCATTAACATTTCTCAATCCAGCAGAAATCTAGCAAGAGATGAAGAGGAATAGTATATGAGAAGGCTCCTTTGGTATGCAGTTGTTTGCTTTGACTCTAAGGGATTCTGCCCTGATCTAATAAGCTCTGAAATAAACAGAGAAATTTAGTAGCCACTAGAAAAACACTTTTGAAATTGAAGAACACTGAAAAAAAAGTTGCCCCATAAAATTTACCAATTTAATCAGCAAGAAGGATTTAAAACTATTTTGAAAGCAATCTTTCTATAAGACAGGCACATTTTCTTAAATGAAACATATCAATATTTTTATTAATGACTCATTTTATTAATGACTCATTTATCACTATAGCTATCAATTATTTGTATGAACTTTGCAGAAGTTTTGTAGCTTTCAGCCTTTTATCGTATTCTACCTTTGACCAAGTGAAATATTCCTGATTATGAAGCAGTAGACAAATCTAAATATAAAACTTAATTGCTTCTGAAGGGGAAAAAGAGTTAGTGATGCTGTTGGTTAGTTAACACTGAGGTTTGCAGCAAAGGGATTGTCTTCTCTTTTCTGATACACACATAGGCACAGATACACACACGTGCACGCACACACACGCACACACACATCGTACACACAAACAGCCATTTATTTTTTTCTTCAAATTTTAAATTTGGCTTAATAGTTATTGGAACTGAAAGACAGTAAAAAAAAGTTGTAGAATAAAAGGAGAC